GATTCTGCGCACAGATGCCGCCCTGTAGCAGTATATCTGCTATAGGGCGGTCCTTAAGCGATTAACGCAGAGAGGCCACATATATGTGCACCAGAATGTAAACAGAGCTGTGCTGAGAGTGTGAGCCCTGCGTGCTCCTGGCACAGTTACCAGCGGCTAATGGAAAGCTCCCACCATCAGAAACCTCTTCAAGGGGGGCTGGGAGGATAACTGACATTATATGCAGTACAAATGTCACACCTTTGATCTACATATGAATGGAATAACAACTGCAGTATAGCAATATATTGCTACATTGTATTACAATGACTATCTGCAAGTGTCATCCTACACAGTAATGGTGGCATTTTGACAACCACTTTTGCATTGTGAAAAAAACATTTCCAGACTTTCATTTTGACAGCATGTAATTGCCAATATTGGCTGCAGGACTGCAGCACACGATCAAGTGATTTCCCAACACAAACACAGGAAACACATTTATGTGGCACCCAGGTTTATAGTCCACCCCCTAAATGCCACATATATGTGTTACTGTGTTTTATAGGGGTTAATGAGCATTAATTGAAGGAGAAGTTTGGGATATGAAAAAAAAAACAAACATACGTACTCAACTAGGTGGATGCAGTATTGCTGTGATGCTGCATCTGTCCCCTGCCAGCTCTAAGACTGGATGATCATATGACCTTTGAACTCTCAGTTCTCAGTCTTCAGTGAGCAGAGAACTGGTGACTGTCAATCACTGGCTCTCTGCTGTGCCCCTCCAGATCTCACTAGAGTGCCGGGCTGTGGAGGGGGTGGGAGCAGCTAGATCAGGATCTCAGCAGCACGCTGAGAGGCTGAGCCAGTTGCCAGTCCAGCATTTGGGTCGATCCTGACATTAAAGTCAGGATTCTTCCAGAGCCTGGGCTGACTGTGTGGCCCAGAAGTGACGTATAGCCAAAAAAGCTTAGACCATACTTCTCCTTGAATCAATAAATTAATTAGGAGTCTTAATACCCACATGGAAGAAAAATGTATTCTTCCCAAATATATTGCCATATATTTGAAATGCTACAGTTTTGGTCATATTCAATATATTTAAAAATATATTTATATATATATATATATATATATATATATATGTGTTTTTTATTGCAAAATATTTGAAAAATATTTTTTAAAATGCATTTCAAATATACTGTATGTCTTTAAAAATACAAATCTACATTTTTGGAATGTATTTACAAATATATGTAAAATATACAGTGGGGCAAAAAAGTATTTAGTCAGCCACCAATTGTGCAAGTTCTCCCACTTAAAAAGATGAGAGAGGCCTGTAATTGGCATCATAGGTACACCTCAACTATGAGAGACAAAATGAGAACAAAAATCCAGACAATCACATTGGCTGATTTGGAAATAATTTATTTGCAAATTATGGTGGAAAATAAGTATTTGGTCAATATCAAAAGTTCATCTCAATACTTTGTTAAATATCCTTTGTTGGCAATGACAGAGGTCCAATGTTTCCTGTAAGTCTTCACAAGGTTGGCACACACTGTTGCTGGTATGTTGGCCCATTCCTCCATGCAGATCTCCTCTAGAGCAGTGATGTTTTGGGGCTGTCGCTGGGCAACACGGACTTTCAACTCCCTCCAAAGGTTTTTTCTATGGAGTTGAGATCTGAAGACTGGCTAGGCCACTCCAGGACCTTGAAATGCTTCTTACGAAGCCACTCCTTCGTTGCCCGGGTGGTATGTTTGGGATCATTGTCATGTTGGAAGACCCAGCCACGTTTCATCTTCAATGCCCTTGCTGATGGAAGGAGGTTTGCACTCAAAATCTCATGATACATGGCCCCATTCATTCTGTCCAGAGAAGCTGATGTTCCTTTATTATTATGGTGTATAATGCCAGAGGCATCCCTATGGTTGGTGTCACCCAGCGCGGTATTATCAGTGCCGTTGTAGCGGTAAAATCAGTACCCCATGAAGATATGTATCCCCTGAAGCAACTGCGCATGTGCCGGTTTCAGGCCAAAGAAGCAGATCTCCGACTTTAGCCCAGAGCCGCCACAGTTAACCCCTTACAGGCTGCAAACCACTGAAGCTGATCCCGTGAATCACTATGGGTTGCAAGATCAGTTAACCCTGTATAGGTTGAACCTATATGGGGTTAACTGATCTTGCAACCCATAGTGATCAGCTTCAGTGGTTTACAGCCTGTAAGGGGTTAACTGTGGCAGCTCTGTCTATGCTAATGTCGGAGATCGGCAATCGGCTTCTTCGACTGAAACCGGCACATGTGCAGTTGCTTCAGGGGATACATATCTTCCTGGGATACTCATTTTACTGCTACACCAGGGGCAGCTGTCACTGTGCTGAGAATCCGGGATCACCCCAATAACTGGCCAGGACCTTCACAGAGCCCAGAAGCTCTGCTGGCATCCTGCTCCCCTTGTGATGGCGTCACCCGGTGCGACCCGCACCCCCCGCACCCTTCTAGGGACGCCACTGTATAATGCTCAATTTCAGTAATAACATTGTTTTTTATTTGGAGCCCTATACTCTGCTGAGTCGACAGTGAGACTGCTATGTCAGTTTAGATGTCAAAGGGACTTCATTGCAGATTCAGTCTAGTGTAAACATTTTAAATTCATTTGTTAATACACAGATAAGGAAACTAAAGGAAGTGTGATAAACTTCCATTCTCTGCCAATCCCTGACCATTCATTTAATCTTGTTTATGAATTTCTTTAATGTGCACACACTCATTTAAAATGTATGACTGTTACTGCACCAGGGATTATGATGTGGCACAGAGGTCCATCCATTATTGCCCAAGTGTCCATTATACATTTATACGCATTCATCTTACCATTCATGTAGACCAGATATCTACATTTCCAGGAAGTGTACAGCGTACCATGAGGAATTGTCGCCCTTTAAAAGCCGCGGCATGAACATGGAAGATTTGCTGAAGCTAGCAGTACCACACAGAAGAAACATGACTGGACATGAGAAATCCATATTTAACCAATCCATCTATGCCACCATGATATCTCAATTATTTAAGTGGCTGATAACATCTCAGACCATTTTACTTCAGGGAAATGATATTAAATATGCAGACAAGATGAGCAACGCTCACACTGTATTGTTTGAGGGGACTATTGATAAGTAGTGCAGTTCAGAATCTGTTACAGCCTTTAGGAGAGTGTGGAGGTGTTCCTGTTTTGCTGTCTGCAGGGGCGGACTGACTATTTGGAAACTCGGGTCAGTAGGGGGCCCCAGAGATGCCCCTGGTACCTTTTTCATAGGCTTTTTTGAGTTTGGGCGGGGACACGGGGGCCCCATGATCCCCTATTGCCCGGGGGCCCCATGAGTTGTCAGTCTGCCCCTGGCTGTCTGTGTCATTTATGCCTTCAAAACTACATGACAAAGATCTAGAGGAATCTAGAGGAATTCTGTCTCCATATACCAGTACATTTTCCAAAGTACTAAGGGCCCTTTCACACAAGACAGACTCTACCTGCGATCCATTTGCTCAGCAGGGGATAGAGGAGAGCGGATGACACAGCCCGCTCTCCTTTATGGACCGCCTGTCTGTTTACACCCAACTGCCATTCAATCTTATCCACTCAACAGAAGGGAAACCCATTTGTTTTTAGCAGATCGGATTGGATGTACACATGTTTGTTTTCACGTGCAGCACCATAGAGGAAAATGGAGGTTCCGATCAGGTCCACCTGCAAAGCAGACAGGTGGATCCAATTGGAATGTTCATGTGAAAGGGGCTTAACAGAGGAGAGAGCTGTTTTCAAAGTGATTGTAAAGCCATATTTTTAATAACTAGTTTGCAAGCTCTAACAAGTAGGGCCCTCTGATTCCTCCTGTATTAAATTGTATTCTAACCGTACTGTCTGCCCTCATGTTGTAACACTCTGTGCAGACAGTTGGCGATATATAAATTCTGCATAATAATAATAATAAATAACAAACATGTCATTCTTACCTGCTCTGTGCAATGGTTTTGCACTAAGTGGACCCAAACCTCCTCTCCTTGGGTCCTCCACCGGTGCTTCTCCTCTTCTCGGTGGTACCCCATAGGAAGACGCTTCCTATGGGGTACCACCTGCAGGCTTGCTCCCGAGCTGTGCTGTCTGCATCCATAGACACAGGCAGTGCGGAAAGGCCCCGCCCCCACCCCCTCATCACAGGATTTGGTTGACAGCAGTAGGAAACAATGCTTGTGAGAGCAGGGAGAGCTACTACAGACAGGCACAGCACTGGATCGAGTGAGCACTCAGGTAAGTATACATGAAATGTATTAACCACTTCAAGTCTGGACACTTTTATCCCCTTCCAGTCCAGGTCAATTTTTCAGCTTTCAGTGCTATCACACTTGGAATGACAATTGTGCGGTCATGCAACACCCATATGAATTTTTTTGAATTTTTTTGAGACATAAAACTTTATTTTCTTGGTATTTATTAACCACTGGGATTTTTTATTTTTTTGCTATATAAATGGAAAAGTCCAAACGTTTTGAAAAAAAGTGTTTTTCTTATAAAATTTTGCAAATAAATAATCTTTCTTCATAAATCTTGGCCAAAATGTATTCATATATCTTTTTAGTAAAAATAAATAACCCAAATTAGTTTATAACCAAAATTATAATTTTGAAAATTTTTCTTACATTTTTATTTTATTTTTTTATATTATTATTTATGTTTTTTTTTTTAACATACCATCACCTAATCAGTACAGCGTCACGATAGTGACACTGTACTACTTGCGGGGGGTGATGAAGATTTTTTTTTTACACTGATTGCTTTTACACCCATAAAGGCTGTAAAAGTAAGCATTTCTCCTTCTCTCTGGCTGCATTCTTGCAGCCATTGAGAAATACTGTAAGAGCTGTGATTGGTCACAGCTTGTCACATGGTACAAGGCTGTTGTGACTAGCCTTGTACCATGTGGCCTCTGTGATCATTCACAGATTTCACAAGTAGTAAGCAGGGGTGGACTGACAACTCATGGGGCCCCCGGGCAATAGGGGATCATGGGGCCCCTGTGTCCTCGCCCACAACCAAAAAAAGCCTATGAAAAAGCCAATGAAAGGTACCAGGGCCATCTCATGAGGCCCCCTACAGACCCCGGGCCCTCGGGCACTGCCCGAGTGCCCGAATGGTCAGTCCACCCCTGGTAGTAAGCAATGATGTTCTTAGACAGGTTAATTTGGTTTTTGATAGTTGGCTAAGTGGCTGGCAGTATGAACTGGCTTTCTTATCCCCCTCTTTTGATAAGTTATACTTATCCATGTTCCTTGCCGACAATAGCCATTATTAGACTGGGGTAGGCTGGCAAGTTGAACTGGATAGTCCTATTTTTTACTTTGTGACGCCTTCCATGCTCACTGTTTAAAAAGCCAGTTATAGACCTGGGTAGGTGGCCAGTTTTTTCTTTGTGTAGTAAGCAATGATATCAGGAAGTGACATCTTGTTTACTACTATTCATGTGATCACCGATTGGCCAATCAGTGATCACATGAATCGGGACCTCACACAGAGGTCTCGTACAGCGATCGGTATTCTGCTGTGTCCTCTGGACTGCGGGGGCTGTTTATAAATGGCCACCTGCTTCGGCAATGCTCCCGTCCAGCCGTTTATGTACATGGGCCAAATGGGAAGTGGTTAAAATGTTACTGAACCCACAACAGTAAAATCAGTTTGTATATGCAGTAAAGCATGGGTGTCAAACTAGCGGCCCTCCAGCTGCTGCCAAACTACAAGTCCTATGATGCATTGACCGTTACAAGCATGACTCCCAAATGGAGAGGGCCGCCAGTTTGACACCTCTGCAGTAAAGCATGCAAGGGTCAGGGGGTTATGCAGACTCATAGGACAGTCAGGGGAGAATGAAGACTCCTTCTACAACCAGTGCTCTGTTGGACACTGACAGACGTTACAGGACTACTCTAACTACTGATGAAAAAAGTATTTAGCAATTTATATTTACTAAAAATAATTAATTTTCCATGTTGTGTGTACTGTGGGAGACCAGAGAGAGTGAATGTAGGGTCCTGGGTTTAGTAACACTTTAAGGTAAAAAATGTTTAGCCTTTAGGCTTTAGGACCACTTCTAACGAAAAATGCCAGTGGCATTCAGGAGGTATAATTTTCCAGTGCAGTATGTACAAAATAAATGTTTAACCACTTGACCTCCAGAGGATTTACCCCCCTTAATGACCAGGCCTTTTTTTGCTATTCGGCACTGCACTAATTCAACTGATAATTGCGCGGTTATGCAATGCTGCACCCAAACGAAATTTACGTCCTTTTTTTCACACAAATAGAGCTTTCTTTCGGTGGTATTTGATCACCTGTGCGCTTTTTATTTTTCACGCTATAAACAAGAAAAGGCCAAACATTTTGAAGAAAAACAATATTTTTTAATTTCAGCTATAAAAATATATAGTAAACTCAAAGTTGGTTATAAATTTAGGCCAAAATGTATTCTGCTACATGTTTTTGGTAAAAAAATCCCAATAAGTGTATATTGATTGCTTTGTGTGACAGTTATAGCGTCTACAAACTATGGTATAGATACTGCAATTTACGCCATTTTTTTTGCTATGCAGCGCTGCGCTAGTTTAACAGACAATTGCGCGGTCATGCAATACGGTACATAAATGAAATTTACATCCTTTTTTTCCCCACAAATTGAGCTTTCTTTCGGTGGTATTTGATCGCCTGTGCGGTTTTTATTTTTTGTGCTATAAAAAAAAGGCTGACAATTTTGAGGAAAAAAAAACAATATTTTGGACTTTTTGCTATAAAACATGTCCACTAAAAAAAAAAAAATTAAAAAATCAAATTTTAGTCATAAATTTCTGCCAAAATGCATTCTGCAACATGTCTTTGCTAAAAAAAAAAAACCCAATACGTGTAAATTAATTGGTTTACATGAAAGTTATAGCTTTTACAAATGGCGGGAAAGATACTGGGATTTTTAGGTTTTTTTTTATACTAATAATGGCGGCGATCAGCGACTTATGGCGGCGATCAGTGACTTATGGCGGCGATCAGCGACTTATGGCGGGACTGTGGGACTGCGGCGGACATTCTGACATTGGGGGGTACTGACTTGGGATGGGATGTCAGTGACACCAATACAGTGATCAGTGCAAAAAAAAAAAAACACTGACACTGTACTAATGGCACTGGGGAGGAAGGGGTTAAGTTTATTTTTCAGGGAAAGGGTTAACTGTGTGAGGGGAGTGTTTTACTAGGGGGCGGGGGTGTGTACTGCAGGGAACACCGCTGATCGGGAGAGAGAAACTCTTCTGTCCCGATCACCGTGTCCTGGAGCTGTCAGGGAACTGACAGAAAGCACAGCTACTGCAGCTGTGCACTCTGTCAGCGATTGCCGGGACATAGCCAGTAAAGGCCGGCTGTGACCCGGCGACTGACATCAGCAGCTGTGATCAGCGGGACAGGTAGGGCAGCGGCGCACCTCGCGCACGCCCCTACCTGTTTACTAAACGCACGTTTTAAAACGTGCTTTTGCCCAGCCGTGCCGCCCTGCCGCCGTATTTATACAGTGGCTGGGCGGCATGTGGTTAAAGTTGAAATTTGCAATATTATAGTGAACATTTAGAAACTTTGATCCTGATTTACTAAAAGATTAGTACATATTCACTTTCAATGTAAATTTTTACATATCTTAGTGAGAGAGTCGAAACAAAGTGAAATAAAATAAAAAATACTGTATTTTGTTTCTCAGATCAGCAGGGACCAGACTAATTTCAGACCATGTATGGGTTAGCTGTTTGTGCACACGTTAATCTATCGGTCATCTTGTGTACAACCAGCCTGCTGGGTTTTCCCAAGCAATCAGTGTTGACGGCTATAGCCACCATACTGATCATAGTATTCTGCTGGCGGGGAAAGCTCCCCGTTGGCAGAATACAATAGCACAAGAAGAAGGAATCAGCTAATTTCTTCAACTAAAAAAATTAATAATATATGGCCAGCCTCACACGATTGTATGATGGCAAATGGCATGTGCCTATGTACTCCTGTACCTCCTAGATGTACACTCACCGGCTGTTTTATTGGGTACTCCTTGCTAGTACTTGGTTGGACCCCTATTTGCCTTTGGAACTGCCTTAATTTTTCATGGCATAGATTCAACAAAGCGTTTGAAACATTCCTCAGAGATGTTGGCCCATATTGACATGATTTACTCTTGCCTTTCTATCATCTTGAACCAGTCTGCCCATTATCCTCTGACCTCTGACATCAAGAAGACATTTTTGTCCACACAACTGCCACTCACTGGATATTTTCTCTCTTTCAGACCATTCTCTGTAAACCCTAGAGATGGTTGTGTGTGAAAATCCCAGTAGATCAGCAGTTTTGGAAATACTCAGACCAGCCCATCTGGCACCAACGACTGTGCCATGTTCAAAGCCACCTAAATCCCCTTTCTTACCCATTTTGATGCTTAGTTTGAACTTCAGCTAGTCGTCTTCACCACATCTAGATTCCTAAATGTATTGAGTTGCTGCCAAGTGATTGGCTGATTAGAAATTTATGTTACCAAACAATTGAACAAGTGTGCCTAATAAAGTGACTGGTGAGTGTCACATACCTTAGATAGTGAGCCTGATGTGAAGAGGCAGGCCTCCTGTACAGCTCTAGCTCGAGGGCCACTGGTGGTGGGACAGTAGCCACAGGAGCACGGTGAGGTATGAGTGACTGTGATCATTCCAGTAGTAGGTGTGTGAGTGGAATTCCACAGACAGGTGAAGAAGCAGGACAGGCTGAAGGTAGACAGCTAGGCACGGATCTTGCTTGATGGCAGGTTATATGTAACAGCAGGAAGCAGAATCCAGATGCGGACTTGCCGGACTGATGGACTGTAGCCAGCAGGAAGGCAGATGCGAGGTCAGACGAGCCGGGTCGGTAACAGTCGGGCAGATCAAGCATAAACGGCAGATGGCAGAGAAGTCAGGTCACGGGCCAAGTCAGCAGCAGAGGTACAATCGGACAAGATCAGGAGGCAGAAGAGTAGTCAAGACAATCCGGGGTCAGGGCAGGTAGTAGACAAGCGAAGATCATGAACAAGCTGGGTAATATCAGAGGTTGGGCACAAGGATCAGGAACACACTCAGAAGCTGCAGACCAAACAGCAATGAGACAAGACTGCAGCCAGTTTAAATAGCCCTTTTGGTACCAGCATTAGTGACAGGCGCGCGCCTGAATGCACGAGTGCACATGCACGCGCACATTCATGCGCGCTTTTGCCCAAATACATGCACCTTTGTGTGGCCTGTTAATGTTCTGCGCATGCGCATATTCATGTGCCACAAACCCTCACTTGCACTATGGACAAGCCTTTCCTGACATTGAGTGTGTATCTGCAGTATGAGATCTGAGGTACTATTTGCAAAGGCTTGCCTCTACCATGGCCACCTCCACACCAAGACTCAGTGTAAAACAAGTTCTGGTAAGTCAGTAATGAAGAACGGTCAGCTACAGAGAGACAAGAAGAAATACCAATGTCTAGTTTTGTGCCTGATGTTTTGGGCACAGTTTACAGAATTCAATTACTGTTTAAAAAAAAATTACAAAACCTTTTTTTTCATGTTTTTGTCCATTTGTCAGCTTATAATAAAAAATAAAAGCAATGTGTTTATTAAACCTTTGTGCTAAAAAGCATTACACGTCCCTAAGAACCTAAAACGTATTCAGGTAGGCAAATGCATAGAATCTTTTTCAGGTTAACTACCTAAAAGTATTCAGACAAGCAAATGACTAAAATTCCTTTCCTAAAAAGCCCCTTAGCTTGTTAAAACTGTTAGATTTACATTTTACAGGTTTGTGTATACCTTCCTTTGGACTGTACATGTGTCTGTTATTACAGGAAGGCTGTACAATTTCAGCGCTTTTAAAAAGTAGCACTGAAGTATTACGTATGCATACGGAATTAAACTAACACACTGAGAACAGTGACAAAATATTGACTTTTTACATCTAGCATACCATTGGTAAAGAAAAGTAATCGTAAAGCATTCTATACCCAATTTTTTTTTTTAC